TAAAGAATAATTTGGAAAAATCCTTAAAAGACTTGGAAATGAGAGTTAAGGAGTTAGAGCAAAGTAACGAAGGGTTACGTTTACAATTCAAATATTTAGAAAAAATGATTGGAGAGCGAGAAGAAGAAACCAAGGCCAATATTAATAATTTGGGAGAAAAGGTTAGAGAACGAGAAGAAGTAACCAAAGGAATTATTAAAAATTTAGAAGAAAAGGTTAAAGAAGAGGCCAAAGCCAAGCAAGTAATTATTAAAAATTTAGAAGAAAAGATTAAAGAAGAGGCCAAAGCCAAGCAAGTAATTATTAATAATTTAGAAGAAAGGATTAGAAAACGAGAAGAAGAATCCAAAGAAAAACAAGAAATTATTAATGAATTAGGAATGAGAATCAGAAATCTTGAATTGATTATTTATGATGATACTACTGAAAGTATAACCATTACAGATTTTATTAAGGATTACATATTGAACACCACCTTAGACGGATTGCAAAGATATCGAAAATTGACAAAATTGGATTGTAGAAATTCTCAAATAACAAGCTTACCAACAACATTACCCAACTCCTTAACATTTCTTGATTGCTCTAATTCTCAAATAACAAGCTTACTAACATTACCCAACTCCTTAACGGTACTTGATTGCTCTAATACTCCAATAACTATCCTACCAACTTTACCCAAATCCTTAACGGAACTCAATTGCTCTTTAACTCCAATAACTATCCTACCAACATTACTCAACTCCTTAACGGTACTCGATTGCTCTAATACTCAAATAACTATCCTACCAACATTACCCAACTCTTTAACGAAACTTGATTGCTCTAATACTCAAATAACTATCCTACCAACATTACCCAACTCCTTAACGGTACTCAAATGTTATTACACTAAAATAAATAGCTTACCAACATTACCCAACTTTTTAACTTATATTGATTGCTCTGGTACTCAAATAACAATCCTACCAACCTTACACAACTCCTTAACGGAACTCAATTGCTCTTATACTCCAATAACTATCCTACCAACATTACCCAACTCCTTAACGAAACTTTATTGTAATAGTACTAAAATAAAAAGCTTACCAAATATACCCGATTCCTTAACAAAAATATACCCCAAATCATTAAAATTTTAAATACAACAATAACTACTCTATGCGTTTGAAATAATAGCTTTAACTTTAGCCTTCTTTAATGTTCAAGATTTTTGAGAAGTAACTAATATAAACAATCTTATATTTTGACGACGGATTTGTAATAAGACTTTAATATTCACTAGATCCACGATCCAAGATGCCGGAATGTCTAGAAATTGGTTACAAGGTCTTCATAATTACTTGTATTAAGACGGTCTCCTTCAAATTTTCTTAAAATCGTCTACTGCAGTTCAATCTCAGAAGTTTCGCAATTGGAACCACATTCTTCTTTGTCCAAGATGATGAGGATCTTCTTATGAATAGTTAAGGCTTCACAAAAGCTTTTCCTAAAAATAGACGAGATTCATTATTAGACTTAGGCCTCACCAAATTTAAAAGTTGGTTTAACATCACAATTAAATAAAAATCAAAAGGGGGAGGAGGAAGAACAATCAACAGTAAAATTTAAACACTATATAATAACCAATTAAACTTTAATACTGTGATACTATTATATTTCAATGATATTTCTTTATTATATAAATTCTTAATTTTTGATGCCTAAATTATACTTTTTCCTAATTTTCTTTTCCATTGATTAATATTATTATGCCCACAAGTAAAGAAATCTTTTTGCCCAATTTGAGATTTCTTCATCAAAACCACTTGCATTGGGATCAAGCTCAGTCATATCCTTCATAATTTTTTTCAAGGTTTAAGAGAAAGAAAGAATTCTCGTCATCTACTTGGTAAAAAAGAGTTAAACAAATTAATGAAACCATCCGTGCTCATAAATCAACCTATGATTGTAGTTTAGTGTACACACCACGTCGAGCTGGTAAAAAACTTTACACTCGCTTTTTCAACAATAATATTATAAAATACTAGACTCACATGGTCACGATAATCTGTTATATTTGCCAAACAAATATGATTCATGAAGATGTGCACTATCATTTCCAACTATTACAAAATCGATAGCTTTTGTCAAAGTCACTATGATCAATTTCATTTCAACGTTTCCCTAACACAAGTTATTAATTACACATCCTGAAGATGACTTTCTTTCATTGATTTAAATTAGCTAATATTTTGGACTTTCCAACAGCTCTATTGAAAAGGATTAATAATTAAGCTCATTATGAGTAATAGAAGCAAAATAACAGTCAACATGTACCAATTCCTCAAATCAAGCCCCACTAATACGATCAGTAATCCACGTAACTGAGACTTGTTCAATCAATCAGGACGAATCTTTCTTCGGATTGAAAGTTGAACACCTTTCTTTTTAATAAAGTCCTATTACGAAAAATAACTACAAACATTTTAATATTTCTACTAAATAAAGAGAGAGAAGGAATACAACCACCTGAATTCAAATTATATAACATTTATGGTCTAATAGGAGCCTACACTGAATCAAAATTACATACATTTATGCTAGACATTCAGTAGTTAAACTATTTTAAGTAAAGAAACCCTATATATAACTTCACCAATGACTGACCTATTATCTTATAGCCAAGAAGCCCCATTTGCAACTTCACCGAATGACCGCGCTTAAAGTGCAATTTCAACCTTACTCTTAAGAACGTCGAGTAGTGCGTTAGATAATATGAACAAACTTCTTTCTTTTTCGTCGGATCTATAAAATAAGGAAAGAAGTTGCTAGAGGTGTTAGAGAAGAGTATCGAAAGAGAGATATTAATTAATAAACTGAGCTTAGACCTGAGACCCATTGTGATAAGTCGGTAATCGTCATACATGCCTCGTTAGGTTCATCGTCACCTACATTATCTGGGAAAGGGGACGAACAAGATTAGAACGTCTTATATAAAAGAAACTGGGAATAGGAAGGTCACCCTTCAAACACAGCTATGCCACCACATCACCAACGAGACCCCCTCGTAATTTTAAATGAAATTAATTTAATTTGTGGGATAAGATGAAGTCCTATCGTGCTTTGACGGCCTGGATGGTATCCTTTCTCTTAACAATATTCGGACCACCCTGCTGCTAAAATGACAAGACGACGATAACTAAGTAAGTATACTTACATGATAATACCAGTGTCATGCCCTAAGCTTCGCCAAAGCATCACTTGCAGAAGTTCTCTTTAAACATAGTTTGATATCTGGATGTAAAAAATACCTCGTTCTCAACCTTTTTATGCCAAAATATCGTCTAAGATAGTATAATACTTCTTTTTATTTTTTTTTTTATGTTAAGAACTTTTAATCGGGACCAACCGACTAAAATAATGTTTTTTTTTTTTTTAAAAAAAAAAAAAATAAATAATAAGAATTTGTGGTAAAAAAAAGAGAGAAGTCGTTAGTTATAAAAAATTACGTGGATAAATTTGTGATGTTTGTATCCGGATGATAAATTTTTACATGATTATACCATGTACTCGATGCGGGTGACATCATTATAAATAGGTTAAGGGCAAAAGTTTAAATTAGCACAAATCAAGTTAAATGTTTTCATAATGTTCCACCTTACAGTTCTCGAAAAAAGTAATCGGAATTACAAAAAATGTAATAAATAAAAAACTAGTGATTGAAATTACTTTAAATTTTGCAGATTTGTTGTTAAATATGTAAATATTATGTATAAATGATTTCAGCTATTTATCCTATCTCCATGTCCCACAATCTTCTGCTATACAGATAAGCTCCACGCACTATTTTTGTCGCTTTAAGTCAAAAAAAAAAATATCGTTAAAAATTTAAGCAGTAAAAACCTGAAAACTTTAATACAGCATTTTAACTACAATTTATTAAGATTAAATAGCTATAAAATCAGTCCAGTAGGCTGATTCATTGGAAAAAAAAAATTGGGTACTTTATGATTCATTAATTGCTGAGAAAATTAAAATTGAAATTTATTTACTAAAATGACCTCAAACCCTTAAAAATAGCTAAAAGAACAAAAATTTAGGATTTTAATTCAAACTACAATAGTTATATTATTTAATGTAGATAGTATTCGAATATACAAAAAAATTTATTAAAATAAGTACGATAGTGATCTGCATTCTGCATGATATTTTATAGTCAACTTTAATTTCGATTTACCGAAAACCAACTGATAAATTAGCATCAAAATTTGTTTCATAAAACTTAACAATTTTTCATTCTTTAAATTTTTAATGATTTTTTTTTAATTAAAAATGTGATTGTGAGACAAAAGGAGATAAAGTAAATAGCCGAAATTT